ATTTTGTTTACTTGACCAATTTAACTAAAGAACTAAATGAAAATAAGTAAGTGACAAATAAGTTTTAAATCAAAAAAGTAGATAATGTGAGTAACACAAATTATTTGAGATTACTTAGGAAAAAAACATGATGATAATATATCAGATATCTACTAGCCTAAATTATCAACTCATAATTTCTTGTCAATATTAATGATGATCATTCTTGATAATTTCTATATTTAGTATCCTATCTGATATCTTTAACACCTGATAATATATAAGAGATATTGAGTTACAAATATAGTCCGTAATATAAAAATAATATAGAATTAAAATTCTCAATTTATTTTATTATAAAATTTAACATTTAGGAGGTTTGCTATTAAAATAAAGATATAGTAAATCATATGATCTGTAACGTGATTTTAATAGCTTACTTTCTATTTCTATATTTTTCTTTACAAAAGCATTTAAAATGTTACTTATTTTTAATCAAAATTCTCAGTTCAACTCAGATTTAAATTATAATTGGAATGAAAACTTTAGAACAGTTTAAAAATTTTATATTACTGAGATTAGATTTGTTGTGTTTGAGTTAAAATAAATTAGTATATTTAAAAAATAGTTTAAGGTAAATATAAAAAACTATAAAAAAAAGATTCTTGAGTAATAGTTTATTTTTTTAAATAATTCTTCACATTTTTACATAAATAGATAATTATACAACCACCAATAATATTAAAATACAAATATATAAAAAAATTATAAGATAGGATTTTTCTTTAACAAAGTCAGTTTATGATCTTTTAAATTAACTGCTACATTCATAAAATGATTAATAGAATAATCTTATTGATGATTTGAGTAATTTAATAACGTAAAGTATCTGATAATATATTATTAGTATAAAGTTATATGATCTTTTGCATTTCTTTTAAGGAGGAACTGTTTGATAATATTATATAGATATATAATAGGAATCTAAAAGTTTCTAAAGAAAAATTAGGATACCAAATTAAATTATATTTACAATACATAAATTTATAATAATTACCTTCTTATTGGGTTTATTTACAGACAAATATCATAAAGCTGTCTTTCTGAAATATTACATTCTCTATTAAATATGAAGATAATATTTAAAAATACTAATATATATTTTTGGTTCTATATGAGATGAAACCAAAAATCTAGCTTTTCAATTGCAAGTTAAAAATTTGTTCACTGTGAGGTTAATAGTCTTTCATTATATCTAACAATTTTATCAGATTTGTTAGATCTTGATTCTCAAATGGAATGATAACCTTTATTTATTTAATAATTAGTATATATTAAAATTTTTAAATTTAAATGTTAATGGATATAAAATAAAACCTGGTGAAAATGACTTGATATTGATTTTTTTGAATAGAATTCATATATGAATAATATGAAAAGTAGCTCCACGTGCACTTAGATTCTCATAATTAAAATGATGTTTATATATAAAAATATATCCAAAATGAAATCTTTTGATTTACTAGGAATAGGTTGTACTTGTTCTACGATTTATTAAATATTTAATCATAAATGCATTTATGTTTAAAAATTAATAGTTCAAATTACCATTAATATGCTGAATATCTTGTTCTTGATAAATATCTGGACTTTGATAATAATCAATTCTTCCTAAATCTTTACAAAATTAACAGGAATTTCTTAAAATTAAAGTCACAATATAATATAATAAAAATTATAAAATAACATACCAGGTTACAAGAATAAAAGTTCCTTGATTACTGACTTTTAATTTATGACTCTATTGACTGTAAATTGATTCTGTTTTGAAATTAAGAATCCATGAGCTAAATTTGTAAGAATGAATAAACTATAATGCAGTATTACATTAAAGTGTATAAGATTTGATATAACGATATTGAAAAGAGATCTAAAACAAGCAAAAAAATTAATATTATGAGTATCTAACATGAAAGGATAAGTTACATATTAAATTGCAAATTTACCTTCTTGAGAGCTTCTCCAGAGAATTTAAACCTTCAAATTGAGTGAGACATATATATATTCTTTGGTATTAACTAATTTTTTTTAAAAAGAATTAGTTAAATTTTATGCAAAGAATATAAAGAAAGGAGTAATTATTTTACCTAGTGATATCCATACACCTTCAGTATAACACTAGATGAATATTTGATTTAATAACTATTTCCTAAATAACCAATTAAGAAATTTAACTATTTCTCACTATTGCGGAGTCATCAAAGGAAGTTTCAACATGATGATCTAGTATGAACGATTTTCTGCATGATTGTTCTCCCATACTAGAAACAACTTTTACTTTTTTATCACTGAAATGTTTGAAAATTCCTTTATACCATCCAAAAAAAATGTTTTCTGCAATATTATTCACATGTCCATAACCATCAAATTCAAAATTTGAAGATATTCCATCCTTGAGAGGTTTAAACTAGTTATTTTTTGCCTTAGCAATTTGTATAGGAATCAAACAACAAAGTAGAATAATCCAATTTCCTAACCTAATTTATATTCTGATGAATACTTTTAAAAGTTTACAGTTTTAATATTTAGTTCCTTGAAAGTAAATGACTGATGTAAAGAATTTTTTTAGGAGTGTTGTGGGCTTTTTTGTGGATTTAAATCTTTAAAGATTTCAGAAATGTATCCCTCAAATTTCTCGTCATATTCTGTAATTTTATCATTATTCTCAATATCAAGATTATCTTCAAATTAAGAGGACGATTTTGTTCAAGATCTAAGCAACTGTCAATTGGATATTTCTCAAGCATTAATTTATAAGCATCGATAAAATCATTTAATTTTGATTTTGGCTCAATGCGAAAATCCATACAATTATCAAATCCACTTATAGTATTGAGATTACTAGCAATTTTTAACTCTGTGTCAGAAAGAACTTCAATAGCAATATATTCTCCACTTTAGACGATCTTTTTTAAGAGTGTATTCTCTCCTTCGATAATAGTACTAACTAACCTCACACGTTCAAGTAACTGTCTCTGCATTCATTTTTAGAAATGATATTGAGTTTTTTCGAGAGTTATTAAGGAGATAAAACATCCATTTTGTAAATCAATTGACATTAATTGAGTTTGTAACTTATTAAATACAAGTAAATTGCAAGAATACCAAGGATTGAAGATTTGGTGGTAAGTCAATAACTATAAAGAATCGAAAGCATTAATTTATCAAGTAAAGAAAAATTATATATATATTTATAAATCATAATATATTAGTTTTTTAAATTACCTTTATTAACAGAACCGCCAAAACTTGTGCAAAAATAAACATAAGCGCGAGATATTTCTTTGTTGTTGGCATCGACAGAATTATGTTGTATTTCATTATTAAAATTCATTGTATCGTCCTTGATTTCTGAAACACTATCTGTATTTTATTCCAATTTTTCTTTTACAAACACTATAATACATGATCCATCGGGTGAACTCAGAACATTTGCTGTATTTGATGGAAAGCTACAAACCGCTGGTCGAAATTGCTTATTAAAAAGATTGAAAATGCGTGCCCTACCACCTTGTTCAACAAAGCAGAGATTCTCGGTACCCTTAATAAAAAATAAATGCTGAAGATTTGGAACCATATTAATATACCATTGAAGTAACTGGATATTTGGATTTCGAGCATATAAATATTTTTGTTCATCACTAAATGAGTATACGTTCAACTATTTTATAAAAATTTTAATTAGTCTTATGTTATTAAATTATAATAAATAATAAAATCACAAGGAACATTTAACATACCAAAACTTTTTTTGTATCATGTATAGCGATTAGCTCTTTTGGCTCATTAATTGCAATAAGTATATTTTCATCTGTATTCAAAGTTTTAAATGATTTAATTGGATATAATTTAAAATTATTTGCTAAACGTTGAGCAGTGTCAAAGAATATCTCAATTTTTTGGTTTTTTTTATCGTAAAGCACAAGAAGAAATTTGCGATCTTCAAATTGGGATATTTTTCAGAGATTTATAAATATTGTCAGTCAAGACAAAAAAAATAATTTGAAGAAAATCAAAAAAAAAAAAAAAAAAATAGATCTACCTGAAGTCGTAAATACTGACCATATGAACGAAAAATTGGATTTGGAATATAAAACTCTTCCTTATGTAGACGGAAGGACTCTGATTGATCTAATGATGTCTCGCAAATTGTTATTTGAAGTTGCTTTGGCTCAATTGAGAGAGAAAACCCTAGCCGAGTTATAAGATTTACATGCTAAAATATTAAATAATGTGTAAAAAATGATGTCATTAATTATTTATAAAGTGTTATGAATTATCACCTGTTTTACCTAAAAAATATTATTTTATACCAATTAATCAATTAACATTTAGTTAATTAATACTTATCCATTATTTCGATATTTTTCTTCTATTACATCACAAATCCTTTCAAATTCACGAGATTCAATATTTTGTTTCTCTTGCTCAAATTCTTTTTTTAACTGAAGTGATAATTTTTGAATGAGAGAATCTTTTTGCAGAATATTTTTAATTTCATAAGAAATTGTAACTTTCCATTTTTTGTATTCTTCTAAGAAAATACTTATTAATTCTTTTTTGTCCTCTTCAAGAAACGATGAATTAATTAAGGTCTTGTATAGATTTAATATCTAAAAGATTTTTGCAATGATATAATTCTTGTAAATATTTTGTATCTATCGAATTTTTGAAATTAGTAAGGCCTTGCGCAGATTTCACATTAGACGAATTTTTTAATTTAATAAGATCATATACAAATTTTATATTTTTTGATAGTGAAATAATTGATTGACTATTGTCAAATAAACTATGACTTGCAGATTCTTTCTTTGTCTGGATATTTTGAATGAATCCTTTCTAAGTATAAATTAATAAAACATAAAGTGATTAGATAAAAATAATGATTATAAATAATCCTTAATAGTAATTTACAACAATACTTAACCCTTATCACTTATATCAATTACATTTTCTCGTGACTATGGGATTTCCGAAGATTCTCGATCCAATTCTTCAAAAAGCCTGAAAATAAGTATAAACAATTAATGATTATTATTCTTTTAAAAAAAAAAAATACTAAATATATATACCTATAACGGTCACATAATTTTTTCCATGCTAAATTGAAATTATGTCACAATCTTTTTCTATTTGTATCAAGTTCATGTTTCTTCTTTTCTTCATACTGCAATTTTGCAGTTTGTCTTTCCTTACGAAATAATCCTAAAAGTTCATCCTCCATTTTTAGACCATGTATAATCAAGATTTCTAATGATTTTATGTCCATTGTTCTACGATCAATATATAATCGTCGTTCTTTAAAATTGGACTAAAGCTTTTGTGAAAATTCCCATTCATTAACTGGCATAGTGATTCCTCGCATACATGAAGTCTCCTTTGTTAATTTCCGAGTAGCAAACGATTGATTTGTAGCAGATTCAATAACTAAATCAAAAAATATAAATAATAGCGGGTCAAAAACGAATATTTTTGAATTCGTTTCATAGAATACAAATTATTAAAAATAGGATGCAAGGGTACACCATCTTCTTGAGTATTTTGTAATTCGGTTTTTATATTATCGAATAAATCCACCTTAATATTGAAAAAAATATTAAATACATTACATTTTATACAATATAAATAAGTTTAAATATAAACCTTAAAGCCGGTATATATTTTAAAGTCATCCTGTACTTCCTGACTTTTCTTGACTTCAAATTCATAAAACCCTTTATCGTCATCTGATTCAACATCGGTATTGTATAAATTCCAATCGAAACTTTCTAAATCTTCTTCACTCATAAGGCAAAGTTGATGCTCGGTAACCTTTGTCAAATATCTATAGGTTTTGTAAATTAAAATTTAATTAAAGTTTAAACATTTAGTAATTGAACTGCTGAATAAATAGATGATACCTATGTAGGTTAGTCATATTTTTTTACATTGTGAAAGAGCATTTTCCTCGTAACATCTTACTTCGGGCCAATGAATAACTAAACTAAAATCTGGATTCACAACCAAGAAGTAAATGCCGGGACGTAAAAAAGGTTTATTTGAGTAGTCGAAAGAAGGCTGCGAGGATATAAGCAATTCATAACTAAATAAAAAAACAAATTAAAATCTATGATTATTGAATAATTTTTTTTATCTGGGATCTTACATACATTTGTTGATTAATAATCTCTAAATTCAACAAGCGTCTTGCAATTAAATGGCGATTTCCGTAACATCCAATAAGGCGAACAGAAATTGAGTTCAATTTTGTGTAATTGATCTCAGAAATTGACTTATAACTTTGATGGAACCATATTGTCGCATAGTTTCTTTAGATAATCCTTTGAGATAATTATTTATCGACTAAAAAATTATTGTTAAGCTTTTGTTGGGTAATTTTTTATATTCAAATTCAAATTCGCAAAACTGTAAAGAAATATACCAAGACTATTCGAACCATCATCTTTGTATAAGTCTAATAAACGATATAAACCAGGAATATGTTCAATCAAATCTTGGGTAGATTTGTTTTTTGCATACCAAAGTCATTTATAATTGTATTCATTAGTTGGTCTCTACCGGCTGAAATTACGTTTTCTGATATATTCCGTTCTTCATGTTCATTGAATAAAGATTCATTAGTTTGGAATTGTGAATATTTTCATCATCTTTTTGGCCGCATTGTTCATTCCCTAGATCTTCATATGAAGGCCTAGAAGGATCTTTTTGAAATGTGTCAATTGGTGGTTGTTGGTTTGCAATGTTATTAAGTTTCCATTCCACTCGTTGGCGCAGACGTCGTCGATGGATTGACAAGGATAATTGAGTCATTTATGTCTGAAACTCTTTGAAATATTTGAGTATAGGGTTATTTATATTAGAATTATATATTTTCAATTTCAAATTTATTCAACAGTGTCCTATGATAATTATAGTCTCATTTTCAATTTAAACAAGAAATATATTGCTCACGATATTTTTGACGCTCACTAATTATTAAAAATTCTTGCTGCTAGGTTTTTTTTCTCTTGTGAAATAAATATTTTCTATTATTATATAATTATCAAATAATTCTTACCAAAATTACCCGGGAATTGCTTAGTATTGTAAATTTGCATAACAAGTTCGATACTACTAAAAAGATAAAAAAAAATTAATTCAAACTTTTATTTCCTGTGCAGATATTTCCTTTTTGGTAACCGGAATTAAATTGATAGGTTCATACGATTACACAGAAAATTCTTTTCCAGAAACAAAAAGATTTAAAAAAAATCAATGCGGTATAACTGAAATTTTCATTTACAACATAATCCTAATGTTGAAGGTCGATTCAATAACATAATTAATATGATAGTATTTGCCAAATTATTCGAAAGGGAAAAAAAGTACAATTTCCTTTGAGATTCGGATAAAAATAGAAAAATATAGATCGTAAAAAAAAATTTTTAAGTTATATAAACGCAAAATTTTCAATTAAATTTCTTCACTTATAATTTTAGGAATTTAAAAGAAAAAAAATGTGATGTAAAAATTATTTTTAAAAATAATTATATTGGGGGGGGGGCGGTCAATAGAAAAGGGGGAAATCCACAAATTTTGAGTAATTTTAGTTAATAATCTAGTTTTTTTCACATGACCATGATCAGCAGAGTGAACCAATAAAAAATATTTGACTAAAAAGTGGATTTCCCCCTTTTCTACTGATTTTTTTAAGTATTTAGTAAAAAAATAAAGCAATTAAAAAAAAATCGTAATTACTGAAAACATTTGAAAACAAAAAAAAAAATTAAAAATACTAGAAAAATATTTAAATAATACTTAAAAAAAATAAAAAAAGTAATATTAAAATATAAAAAATAAATGTTACATTAAAAATAACAAAATTATATAATAAATTAAACAATTTTTTAGTTTTCTTTCTCTAATAATTTAAAACATCAAATATTTCTAAATATATTTACAACAAGAATATATTGGATCTATGAAAAAAATTAACAATTATTACATTTTTTTAAAAAATCAAAAATTTTATGTTAGAATAAATTATTATAAAATTGATAAAGACTCATCCAAAAAACTATTTCTCATTACTTAAAATATATTTTATAAAAAAAAAAGATAAGTATAAACTAAAATGAAGCTTTTAAAAGAAAACTTACTTAGGAATCACAATAGAAATCTCACTAATAGTAGTAGTAATCACTAGAGAATCGTTTTATAATTATTAGAAAGCTAAGAATCATTTTATAAGCTAAAAGAAACTTTTACATATTAAACCTTACCAATACACAAGGCTTAAATACTCTATGTTATGAAAGTTAATAAAAGTTAAAAAGTTTTGAAAAAATAGTTTCTTTAAGAATATTTTTTTAAAATTTACTTTAGTGTAATCCAAAAATCCTTTTTTTATTATAATTGATCGACAAATCACCTGATCATACCAATTTGAAAATAATGATAACATAAAAAATATAAATAATATAAAGAAAATTATTTAATAACTTCTAATGAATCTCAATCTTTATCTCTAACTCCATCTGAATTATTAATAATCTTAAATCCAATTTATAAATCTAGGATTTTCAATATTTAAACAAAATCAACCAAGAGTATTTGATGAAGTTAAAGAATATTTAAAAGAAAATAAGATTCCTTTTAATTAACATTCATTTAATTAGTCATTAAATAATAAAAATAAGTATTCAATTCTTACTAAAATGGCAAGAATTCATTTAGTTATTTCTGCAACATCAATACTATTAAAAAGGTTATTTTCTGATGCAAGAAATTTACTTTTAGCAAAAAGATCTAGAATGAATTCAGAACTTTTTTGATGTATAATATTTTTAAAAAAAATGCAATTAAAGTTAAAAGTATTTATAAATAATTATTTATATTTTAAATTAATCGTTTATATAATTTATTATAAATAAATTATTATTTTATTAAATATTATAAAACTTATTGTAAACCTAAACTCATAATTTTAAAGATTTCTATTTTTTAAAATAGAAGCAAAAGTTCTAAATAAAAAATAAATAAATAAATTTTTCCTTCCTAAATTCAAGCTAAAATTCAGATTCAAAAAAGTATTCCAAAGAAAAAAAAGAAATGTAAATGATTTTTAAAGACAAATAAATGAAAAATGAAAAAACATGTTCCTAACTTATCTTTCATAGTCTAAGTTAAAATTTAGGTTCAGAAAGGTATTCCTTAAAGAAAATAAGCAAAAGAACTAGTAATAAAATTCTAAAATAAAAAAGAAAACAAAAAATCTACTACAACTTACCTTTATAGCTCAAGCTAAAATTCAGGTTCAGAAAGACATTCTCTAAAGAAAAGAAGTAAAAAAAATGTTAATGGTTTTTTAAAGACAAAGAAAAAAAACTCACAAGAAAAGAAGCAAAAGGAATATTAATGATGTTCTTAAAATAAAAAAACAAGAAAAATTTTCTATATCATTATATCTTCATAGCCTAAGCTGAAATTTAGATCCAAAAAGATATCTTCTAAAGAAAAGAAGTAAAAGAAACATAAATAGTATTTTAAAAATAAAAAAAAAACAAAAATAATACCCTCATATCATTTACCTTTATAGTTTAAGCTGAAATTCAAATCCAAGAAGGCATTCCCTAAAGAAAAAAAAGCAAAAAAAAATATTAATGACATTTTAAAGATAAAGAAATAAAAATAATCCTCACATCAACTACCTTTATAGCTTAAGCTAAAATTCAGGTTCAGGAAGACATCCCTTAAAGAAAAGAAGTAAAAAGAATATTAATAGTATTCTTAAGACAAAGAAGAAATAAAAACAATACTCTTACATCACTTACCTTTATAGTTCAAGTTGAAATCCAGTATAAGAAGACATTTTCTAAAGAAAAGAAGTAAAAGGAATATTAATAGTATTTTAAAGATAAAGAAAAATTAAAGAAACAAAAATAATCCCTTTATATCACCTTATCTTCGTAGCTTAAGCTGAAATCTAGGTTCAGGAAGGCGTCTCTAAAAAAAGAAGTAAAAGAATATTAATAGCATTTCAAAAATAAAGAAGAAACAAAAACAATTTTCTACACCTCTTACCTTTATAGTCCAAGTTGAAATTCAGATCCAAAAAGCATTTTCTAAAGAAAAGAAATAAAAGAAATGTTAATGATATTTCTAATGATAAAGAAAAATAAAGCTTTATAGCCTAGCTAAAATTTAAATTCAGAAAGACATTGTGACAGATAAAATTTTAGATAGATTTAATTGGTAAAATATGAAGTCAATTCTATTGCCATGTAAATCTTCTATGAAGATCATTTTATCCATTTTATTGCCATCGATCAATTATGAAAATTCTTAGATGTCAATTTTATTGCCTTTGATAATTACATAAATCATAAATGTCCATTTAGTTACTTACAGATCTGGCAATTTTATTGACATGGCAACTTTATTGCCTAATAAAATGGCAACTTTATTTCTTTTGATATATTTAGTTTAGTTTATTTTATTATTTATTCAACATATATAAATATCTCTGTATTTCTTTGAGTCTTAGCACTGACGAGATATTAATCTTTAAGGTACTAAACTTATATATTATATTAATAAAGGAGTATAATTAACTAAGTATAAACTTATACTTCGCAAACTCATTGAAACTGATATAAATTATCTGTAACCCTTTGCATTTATACAATCCCTTTAATTATCATTAGTGAACTTATTATATGATATTGTATTGATTCACTGTATTGACTTGAAGTCTCTAAAGCGTAATTTTTAAAATATCTTTGAGTTATCTTTGTATTTATTTTGTGTGTATCTCACGTGTTTATTATTAAGAATAATTCTTCGACGTTATTGTGAATACTTCCCTGTGATTTCTTGAGTAATTGTCTTAGTTTTATTTACCCCTTTTGAGATTTTATTTGAAGTTACAAAACCAAAAAGCTGTTTTCTAAAGAAAAAAAAAGGAATGTTAGTAATATTTTAATAAAAAACTGAATTTACCTCTATTCTAATATATCTTTTAATTCAAACTATTCAAGTAGATTCTGAAGTCCAAGTTTATGTTCATGTCCGATTTAAAAAAAATGTAAATTTTTTTTTAAAAAATAAAAACAATACTAAAAAAAATAAAATAAAATAATCAGATTATCTGATATTATCTAATAGATCCATAGGATTATAGATAAGAAACAAAATCTCTTAATAATAGTCAAAACTTAGACAGAACTATATTAAAATTATAATAAGGGATATGATGAAACTTTTTTGATATGACGAAAGTTAAAACTATCAAAACTATATTAAAAATATAGAAAAGGATATGATAAAATTATTTTGAGGAGGTTTTGGCTGGCATCTATAATCAGGATTATCTGCTATCTGTTTATTCATAATCTGAATGATCTGTTTTTTGATCAAATCAGATGACAAATTCAACAGATTTTACCAGAGCATACCTTTAATTTCATCTACCCTTTCTCTAATAAATTGATAGTCTATTTATTTATTTATTTATTTATATTTTTATTTATTTTAATTTGGTTTTTTTAGAAATAAAAAATTATTACATTTTAATTATATAATGATAAATAAACAAATATTTGAACATTTCATATATAAATATAACCTACAAATATTTTGTAATTAATATTAAAAAACAATCTTTTTTTAATCAAAATAAGAAATAAATATCTAAATAAATAAAATAAGTAAATGATAAAATATAAATAAAATATTATGTTATTAAATTAATTTTTTACTATTTAAAATAATACTTTATTTTAACTTAAAAAGAAAATTTGTTATTTTAAACTTGAAAAAAATATCAAATT